CCTAAGTTCTACGGCAAGGATGATGCTTACGGTCATCAGTTGGAGCAAAGTCCTCTTCTTGAACTTTGTTGTTGTTCGTAAAGTTACCTAGCTCATCGTCAATTGCGTAACTCGTTTTCCTGATCTCGTAACACAAAATCTAAACACGACAATTATGGCAATGTCAGAACGTTCGTCGCGAACCACTAACGCGTGTTCCAAAAGGACCACGGAAAGCGACTATGGAGTTTCCGAACACGTTGCTGATATGTTACATCCAATCTCTTTTATTCTCATACCGAAACTTGTTTCTGATATAAAAAGTTATGAATCGTAATAATTCTCATATTTGACGTAACAGGTATTCCCTAACGATGCAGCGAGTCCTTGACCAAATTCATACAGTGTACCAACAAAATGACATGAAAATTTAAAATGAGACTAAGAAGTATTACCTCTTCATTAAGCTTCCATTTTATGAGTTTGTGCAAAGAACGTATTAAAATAATGGAAAGCTGAGTTACTGTTGAATCTCTCAGGACATCCGAGTTAGTGTTCGTTCTACAACGCCAGCTCGAACTATTTTCATGTTTGAAATTATCAGATTATGGCAATGTCACTGCACAAAATTGTTATTACGAAACTGGGAGATGACGTCAAGGAACAGAGGCTTATGTAACAAACCATAACCTAAAATGTATGGACTTCATTTGTCCTAACAAACTCGAAAATAATTCTCAGAGGTCATATATATCCGTAAACACGTTTCATCTCAGTCACAACTCAACAAAAGCAAGAAAACAAATAAACACGTAAAGTTATCGTTATTTATACGAAATTTAAACAGTTCAGGCGAAAAGAACATACCGAAATCACTTAAGTAAGAACTTAAACCTCTGCACTTTTATCGAAATTACTGCTCTAACTCATTTAACATAATTACATAGGAAACACATTAACAAAACATTTTAGCCTATTACAGATACGTTGATATATTGTTATCTCATAAAAATAACAAAACAAACATTAAGAAAGAAAGACAACAACAACTCAGATGACTTCATCCACGTCATCTAAACCAGTTGTATTCAACCTGGGGTACGCGTACCCCCGGGGGTACGCTAAGACATCTTAGGGCGGTACGTGAAATTTAAAAAATATATTATTTTATGATAAACACTGAATAATCAGTAATGTAATTTATTTAATTTATTTTAGATGTAGATTATATATTATGTATAACTTGAATTATACGCCAACTTTGGGGGTATAAAGTTGAAGAGAAATTATATCTGGGGGTACGCGAACAAAAAAGGTTCAATACCACTGATATAAACAACACTTAAAAGAAAACACAATACACGTCTCAATGACAAAGGATCAGTTAGTTAAAGTTATTTAAGGAAATAATAGCTGTTTATTCTAAGGATCAATAAATAATCTCTGAGGGCAAAATGTAGATTTAATGAATATTGAAACGGGTGTTCCTGCTGGCAGTAAAGGGTTGTTCTGCGAGAACTAATCGCCCATGGAGAGGTTTTGACATTAGCTTTTAGGCTGGCTAATGAGCTTAACACGTGTGCAGTAATTTCATCTAATGGAAGCAACTGAATGAGACGTGCTTCATTTCCGAGCTTACAGACAATAAAAACAGTTTCAGCACAATGTAAAAAAGCATTCTTCATTTTTACCATACTTTAACTACGAATGTCTGATTAAACATTTAGAGCCCGGTGGTAACTATATGTACCACCTGCTTTATCAATCAAAAATTGTTCATCTTGTATTTACGTATTTCGTATGATTCTTTCTGTAAACAGCTGTCATTTCCTTAAACAGCGTTAACCAGTTGATCTTTGTAATGATGAAATGTGGTGTTTTCTTCGCGGTACGGACTGAATTCTTATACATTATTTAGTCGAGCTTCGGCCTTAAATGTTAAACGCCTTCTTTGCCAAAAATCCACCTATTACCTTCGTTTGTTTGTCTGTTCGTCCGTCCGCATGTAACTCAAGAACTGCTAGGCGGATATTTGTGGAATTTAACAATGGTGGGGTTCACTACAATTTTTAAACAATACCAATTGTGGTTGAAATCAGACAACAGTGACGTACACCTTCATATGAAGACCTACATTCGAATCTAAGCATGAAAGTGACCTTGAAACCGCACGGGGATTTGAGGGGGGCCTAGATACACATTCTGCCCACTCAAAGGACGCTGACCTACCTCAGATAATTCTAACGTCACACGGGTCAAAGGTCATGTTTTCATGGACCCCACAGCTTCCAACATCTGCCTATGCCACATATCAAAGAACATATATCAATTTAAAATCTATAGACAACGCATCAAAATTGTGAAGTTAAGCGTCTATTTCCTGACTTGTTTATGATGTGGGCAGCTTCATGAAAAATACGAAACTATGTAACTCCAGAAAAAAAATTCAATGCCAAATTTAATGAAAATTCATCACCCGGTTAAGTTACGGATTATCAAAAATTGATAATTGTTTATATTTATTATTATTATTTATTTCTGTTTCCGTCAGACACACAGACGCATGGTCCTAACGTTGTGTGACCTACATTCTGTGGCATTCAGGGCTGGGCGATCGATAAATTCGCCCAGGAATTTGGAAGCTGGCAGGCGAATAGCATCGCAGCCATCTTCCTGAAGAATTATAAACTATTTTCACGACTTCAATGCCCTTCTGAACCCGAAATTACGACTAAGTGGAGTAATGAATATACATTTCAACTTTACTATTGTTAAAAAATATCTTAGTCGTAATGAATTGGTATTTTAAAAATGGAAATAATAACAAAAGAAAACTGCATTACGAAGATTACGAAGTTAATAAACACGAATGAGGCTGAAATCAATTAAGAAAGTTAAACTCGATAGAATGAATAGACAAGAAGACAGAAAGGTATAATGACGTACATATATACTCTTAGATGAAAATGAGACATTTCAAGACATAATAACAGATTTAAAAACTAATTAAACTATGGACATCGGTACATACTTCATGAAGAAGCTAATAAGAGAAGGGGGTAAAGTTGGAGGGAACGAGGAGACAAAATTTTATGAGAAATTGTCTGTAACCGCAAATTTAAATAATTTAAAAAATTTCTATGATCTTCCGATAAATAATATCCTTCCTTTATAATTACATTATCATCAACATTCTCATTATGGCCACTGTCTTTAAATAACGTAAAAATAAAACAGACCACGAAAAGAACGGAGCGTATGTCAAGTCCAAAATGTGGTGACAACTGAACTTATTAGAACGTTTCACTGCGATAACAGTCAGTAGGCATGAGAAACTGTTGTGTTATTGAGTTACGTAGTACAACCATACGCCTAACAAGTACTGCATAATCTGAATACAATGGAACATGTTAAACACTATGGTAACGCGAATAAAATCCGTTTCACACATTCGTTAATGACAAGGGAAACACAAAATAAGAACCAGTGACCTGGATTCAAAGAGAATCCAGAATCCGTAAACATAAGCAGCGCTTTACTCGAAACAACACAATTATTTTACGGGATGTTGCGCCGTGTAGCCTGGTAGAAGTTTACCGACGTTTCAGAGGTCCTTGCTGCCTCCATCTGAAATGGTGCTACAACCCAGAAGACAGTCATCTTTCTAATATTATCTGTTAAACTGCAATTACGCATATAAGGTTCAAAGTTAATCTAAATACGTAAGAATTCGGTCCGTACCTCAAAGAAAACACAACTAATCTCCATAACAGCGATGAATTGGTTAACACTGTTTAGGGAAATAATTGTTGTTTGTTGTGAGAATAATATGAAACCCAAGATACTTGAGTAAGATAGTTACTTGGTTAAGAAACCAACTAGTCTAGTAGTTACATAATTACGTAAGAATATTAGATACCTGACTTACCGTGTCATTCGACTATCTACTTAAGTAATCGCTTAGTCACCTTGACTGCCTGTGTCTCTTGCTAGTTTAAATAGTCCCGTGGTAAAATGCGTCCAACATTGCAATTATACCAACTGTTACAATTTAAATGTATATATGTTAGTGTTTTCCTATGCTGACGTCTACAATACGTTTTCACTAATCAAATTCAAATTTATACGCATTAAGTACAGTGCAGAGCGAAATTATCTGACTTTTCAACCCATACAAAGCATAAATAAATGGTTAATACAGATATTATTTACAGACGTTTCAGAGGTCTTACTGCCCAATCATCAGGGTTATGACTGATCAACCCTGATGACGCCTGATAGATCAGGAACCTCTGAAACGTCTGTAAACTTCTTCTAACATACAACATGATGCAAGAACTTGTATGAAAATATTAAAGTACATAAATATTAGAATGAGGATTATGTATTTAAATTGTCTGCCTTGTGACATGTACGCAGTTCATTGTTTCAAGTGACATTCACATATCAGAGAGAGAGAGAGAAAGTGAGAGAGAGAATTAGTGAAGATTATTCTATTCCTTCGTCACACAAGTTACACATTACGAAATTTGGATTAATTGTCATTTAAACCAGTGTCTAATTCGAAGGGCGTCGTTGCGCACAAGACGTGTTAAGACACTTAAGTGTCGGCAATGGAAAACCCCCCTACGGTGATGTAAGAATGCAAATGAGGTTGTCACTTTGCACCTGTGATTTGCAGAAGTGTTGGGTTTCTTTACAAACTTTCCTTTTTCTTTCAAGAGGACAATGCCACGAGACCACAGAACATGATCGCAGAGGAAAATACGTAATCAGCAGACAAAGGACATTAGTCATTGTCACTTACAGCCGCATTAGTGGCTACAGGTCGAGTCTATCGTACGTGCAGTTCCGGGTTTAAATACAAACCACGAAGACGAAGGAGATGATACGCGTAGTAAACATGAAATTTTGACGTGTTCACCAGAATTTGACATTTGAGAACGGTGCCAATTACATCAGAGTTATCTGAGGTTCATGACCTTTTGGGGGGGGGCTCGATGTCTAGCGGGGTGATGACGTTATCAAGGAGGATTCACCCACATGGTTAGGCGACGGAATAAGGATTCCCCACTCAACCGCACGTAGAAACTGGACGTGTATACAGAAACGAAAATTTAAAATTTAATTAAAATCCTTTCATTAGTCTAACAAATTTCAGAAAACGACAAACTGAAAGGCGATTTGGGGGGAAGGTAATAGGAGCATTTTTTTTAAATTTAGGTGCAAAAGCGGCTTAAGTTAGGCTCGCTGCATTCCGCGCCTAGGCGCCTTTGTATCATTAACTTGCTTGCTGGCGAGACTCGTGGACCAGGTGCGAGAACAGAGCGAGAATGCTGCTAAATTTAGCAGCAACCACACTTAAAGTGAAATTGCTTTTAGAAGCTGGACGGGACTAAGACTACTATACCAATTATGTCGGCTGGGGTGGATATTAATCTTACTACGCTTACAAATGACATGTTAGGTCCCACTACACGTGTAACACCCACTCAGACAGATTTATTTCTATAAATCCGGGTGCAGTAACTCATTCAGTGGACAGCTACTTAACTTTAGGCTTATGTACGCATAAACAAACAAACAAACGAAACTACAAAGCACCTACGATGTCTAACTCGGAAGTCTTTTCCCCTGAATATCAATGCTGCATGCAGTGACACATGACACGCGAACATGAAATGAATTCGGACGAGATATCTCGTGCTTAACGCGGGAAGGATTATAAGCACACACACACTTGAGATTGATCAGTGCAATTGAGTAGAATTGTAAACTTAATAGTGGACAAACCTCTCCTCTCCTCTCCTCCAAGCATGCTAATAGTTGCTCATTCATCCTTCAATCAAGCAGGGATGAGTCACGTGGTTCTATTTCCGGCAGGAGGGCAGGCTTCTCGCCAGCTGGATAGGTCAGGGCACCTCAGAGTAACCCACTTGCTGGTAAGTCGACCTCATTGCGTATAATTCGATAAGGTCATTCGAATATATTTGTCGTAGGCCTGGGTGTTATTTAAATACCGCTAACCGATCATAAAATTTTAGACTAAAAATCTGAAACTGAGAGACAACACAAGCGACTTTTCAGGTTTATGGTAAGATAACATTAGAAGGGGGTTTAAGAAACAGAAGGTGAGGGCGCGTACCGAAATGGGATGGTTTAGGATGAGAACCAGAGACGGGATTATCGTAAACACGGCAAGGAAATTTCAGAATTACATAAAAGTCGAGGAATATCTTGATCAGTCGATGGAGCATTAACGTTTAAAGACCTGCAAGCAGCGTTCAACATTGAGGCGTTTTTTTAAAATTATTTAAGGTCACAGGCACTGAGACTGAAAACGATCATGGCCACTTGTTGGAGCAGAGTTCTTAAGAAGCTGATAGTCACGCAGCTGGCCGAGGGAAATTCGTCGAGTTTCATGGAACCCATCAGCTTTTCGAAAGAAAATTGTACGTGGGTTCACTTCTCATTCCCACTCATTCATGTTGCGTGTCCAACCCATCTCATTGTCCTTAATTTTATCACCCTGACAATATTTGGTTAAGCAAGACCAAAATTAGGAACGAAGAAATGAGGAAAGGAACACAAACATTGAGGATGGAAAAACAAAAACGCAGAAACGCTTCGGTTTCACTCGATCCTCGTTACTAGGCAACCATTCTTAAATGGTGCGTCACGGAACGTAAGCAGGGCAGCATCCTGCCCCTGCGCTACTCCGTGTGCAGAAGATCGGATCTCCTGCGGGCATCGACCTGTAAATCCTGGGATCGATACCGCACGGAAGAGGTGGAAATTCCTGCAGGCTAATCAAGTTCACTGACAAATATAACGCAACTGACCTCCCAGTCTGGAACACCGCCTTCCAGAACACAGCCCTAAGTAGCCCTTCACCCTTGAAATGTATAGTAAAATGAAAGCAGTTTTCTTGCTAACAAATATTATTTCAGATTTGATTAAGTCTTAAACAGAACACCCTGTATAAAAGAAGCCATGATATAGACAGCCTTCGTTGTGCGGCTTCGCTTACGTTACGTAAAACGGCCATGTGGAGGATGAACAACTTGCTAATTACTACTGCTAATTATAACTGATAAAAGGCTTCCTTATTCTACATTCGGCAATCTACAAGCAGGTAATTAAATTCTTGTGCGTTGTTTGGATAAGGATTACAAAACGAGTATACAATGAGGAGCGGTGTCTGTCCGCATATTTCATCTCTGGAACTTCTCAGCAGACATGAAATGTGACACCGGGAAGTCTATCTTAAAAATTTAGTGGGTAATTTTAATTTTAATCCAATATAACAATCCTTTATTTTTCAACAAGTTCAAACTGAAACTTTCATTTAACCCCCCCCCCCCCAAGAAAGTCATCGAATGAAAGGCCAATGGATTAACAAAATATAAGCCAGGGTGGATTAGTCACTAAACTGACTGACCAAAGAAACGAATTGGGATTCGATTCTCGGTATGGGTAAGGACCTAGGCTTTTACCTTATTTGTAACATGATTCTTATAACAAACAAAGATTATTTCCCTAAAAAAACATTAACCAGATGACCTTTCTGTAATGAAGTGTTTTACCTGAGGTACGAACAGTTTTTTTTTAATATTATTATTTAGATGAACATCATGTTTCAACATACCTTTACCAGAAGGACGAGTCAGCACTGCCTGGGAACCTTCATGACGAAAATTTCTCTAACCCCCCCCCCCCCAATTTAGTGTACGTCACACTCTCCTCCAATTTTCTCTTTCGTAATCTCTCGATTTTCGTGTTTTAAAAAGAGTTATATAAACCGAGACTCGATAAAGATGGAAAGGCAGGGTGCTTCTTTACCTGCTGTAAATTCGTTGTTCAGACGCGACAAGACGAGTGAGACGGATTCTAAACTGACACTGATGGGGCGATTCGAGATGTGGTCCAGCATCTTGTGTTGCGCGCATATTCGGAGCATGTGACCTTGCCCTGATCGATCAACCAAGTCCCATCGCCATCAACCGAGACAGAAATAGCACACCACTCGGAGGTTGATAAATTATGATGTAGGTAGATTATGGAGATAACGTGACGTCAGGATCCACTATCACCGATCCAATTATCCGCATCTCGTGAATCTGTGACGTGTGTTTCAATGTAAGAGTTTGTCTGGAGTCAGTTTTGCGTTTAATTCTCTGTTCTGCACAGACGTAAACATTATAAAACAACCTTCGAGGAAGGTCACGTATGGAACGGCCTGCTACAGAGATAATGCACCCGAACGAATCAAAACAACTTTTTCTATCCTGGATATTACGCGGAGGAAATCTTAATTTGTTATGGCATATCATCAGTTCAATGTTAATCGAGATGTTTCTTTATTCACATTTTGGCTTAAATAAAACCGGTTTGTCCTACGCTGTAAAGCAGAAGTTCCTTCGAACAACATTTAAGAATTAAGTCCGTACCGCAAAGAAAACACAACGCAAGGATTAATTGGGAAAAAAAACACTGTTTATTCTGAGAATCATATGAAACTCGTACACTCTGGAAAATTGCAAGATTACTTAATGTTAAAGTAAGTGGTATATATAGTTACCACTCGGTTGTAACGTTTAATACGCTGATTTGGTAGCTGTTCATTCCCTCAAAATCTTGTCGTCTGAATCCGTGAGAACCTGTTATTGACGCGATGGGGGCGAGACTATGTCGATGTAGAAATACGGGTCCATTGTCATTCTCCCAGATGATACAGGAGCAAATATGGAGCAGGTGTGCGTGTAGAATGATACCGACGCGGAAAAAGCTAAGAAGTATGAAAAAAAGACAGTCCCAGCGCCACTGTACGGATCCACGACCGATGAATGAATCCACACCTCCGAATTGTAGATAGATTCTTCGTAAGCGGCTTATTCATCGCCCTGATCATGGAGGCAGCAGACACGTCTGAAACGTTCGTAAAATTCTACCAGTCTATACGGCGCTACAACTCGGAAGACAGACATCTCCCAAATGATGCCGAGTTAGAAACGTACGAGGTGCGATCGGAAAGTTTCTAGACTGCGCCTATAAAAATCCGTACACTTATCTCAGGTATTAAATTCATCCATCACCCTCGAAGTAGTTCCCCTGGGAGTGAACACAACGATCCCAGCGCCGCTGCCAAGCCTGGAAGCATCCCTGGAAATCTTTCTTTGTCAGCCTGTCAAGCACCATCTGCGATTTTGCCTGAATCTCTTCTATCGTCTCACATCTCCTTCCCTTTAGCTGAATTTTCATCTTTGGGAAGAGGGAGAAGTCACACGGAGCTTAGAAAGGAAGTTGGGGTCGGTTCTTGCAAGATCTTTGAGCTCCTGACTAACGAGAAGTCGATTCTGCTTCTGGTCCTCAGACAGGAGCCTTGGCACAAACTTGGCTGCGATGCGTCGCCTGTGGAGTTCTTCCTTTAGAATCAGCTGACAGGTCCCATAGCCTATCCCAACAATGTCGCACAAGTCGTTGATGGTACGACGTCGATCTTCGTGAATGGCCTGCCGAATCTTCGTAACATTTTCGGGCGTTGTGCTCGAAGATGGTCGTCCAGAACGCTCGTCATCATCGACAGAGGTAACTAAGAAACAAATGCTAATTCGATGATGCCGGCTGGCACACTGATTCACTATGAATGTAGACCCAACCCCTTAGCGGCAGAAGCTCATACTACATCCGGTTCGCCCTCTATTGACACAGTCTTGAAACTTTCCGATCGCACCTCGTACACACGTTCTGACGAGGTTTGACTGGGATCGGCCATAACGAATATGTAAATCTCAGAACTGTTATTTGTTTTGAAAGAACAGTCCACAAGATTCCGTTCAAGGACAAGAAAGAACCAGGTAATAATTGAGAAATCATTACGTACCACGGATTCTTCGTCCGTATTTCATGCACTACACAACAAACCCATAAGAATGTTAATGCCATAGCCGAAGGAATAAGAAAAATGACGTTTCTACGAATCTGCTAGCACGAAGAGAGAGAGAGAGAGAGAGAGAGAGAGAATATGCCATCCAGGCCAAGGAGAGCAGAAAACGAAGAAAAGTGACAATTAAATGATACAGGAATGAAGCGAAAATAACGTAAAATGAAAGATAAATAAATAAAATGAGCAAATGCACTTATTTTCACAAAGAGGAGAGATACAGTAGCCCCTTTATCAAAAGTGGCATTGAACTTGGCCCCAATGGATGGGTGCAGATAGGCGGGGGGGTGTTACTGTCATAAAACTTTCTTCGTACGTACACTGACGCCAGAGAACGTCCCGTCCTTGCTTCGAGTCAAGGTCATCGAAGCTGGTAGGTGTCATCGAGTAGTGGCGCCACTAGAGGAAATGCGGCAAACTCACAGTACATGTCTCAGGGGTGAATAAACTACATTTCCCCAACTTGATTCAGTCGTCCGGGAAAAAGACTATATCACGGCTCTACACGCAGAATTTTTTATATTGTTTTTTATATAACAATTCTCGCGTGTCATAACTGAATGGGTGGATAGGTACGATAAATTACAGACCACAGGATACCAGCCACCGGAACTAGAAGTCTGTGCAAACTTCCTTCCAGGAGCATTTATCTTTTGCCCAAACAGACTCTGAGGCCCACCCTAATCTCGCATTGTTTTGATACAGACGTCCATTTTCTGGAGGGAGGGGAGTACACCAACAACACCGAGGTCCAGTTTACGTGAATTCAAAATTACGTTAATTCAACAGCAGAAACTGTATAAACATTTACAAAGTTTTACCAAGCTTAGGGTATAATATTAAACGCGATCATACGTAGGCCTTACTGCTTAGATTATGAAAGGACACGGATGAAACCTGTTTGTAATGAAATGGAATTTAGAAAACTCGTAAAACTTCAACCTCCACGCTTCATACACACGTTCGAATGAACGTAATCGATGTTAAAATCAAGACACAAGTCAGACTGATCGGTTCAGGTTCCAATACAAGTCACCTGAGAGTAGGTCATGGTATACCACCTTCCATCTCGAAGAAATTTCAATAATCTGTATCCAGGTCAGCATCGGATTTTTAAACTCAGTAACAGATATGCAATAAAGACAGAAGAAAGAATAAATACGTGACCACAGCTGCTTTGAAACATTCAGTGCAGTCATTGTCGACAAAAAACAAACATCACTTGAAGTTATGTCACTGGCTCACGCAACAAACAAGACGATGGTCCAACAGCCGTTGGCCGATAATCAACTTCAGGTCAAAGTGACCGTTGAGTTATCTGTTGAGGTCCAAGACAATCTAACAACGTACAGAGGTCGTCACAGAACCGTCCAAAGGATAAATGGAATCTTTCGGATTTGGGCATAACAATCGAGGAAATGTCCTTACAAAAATATTACGTAAACTTTGTTTCTCATTTTATATATCAGTACTGTTAAGTTATGTTATGGTGGCGAGATTGGTAGAACTGGTCTGATCTGTATATCTTCGAGAATTATTTAAAAAAAAAAGAAGAACACGGCAAATGATAACACACGATAACAATTGTTATCAGCGCCCTCCTAATCATACCGTAAGAAACAGAAGCACAGAGCACAGGTTTATGCCCGAATATAATAATTAGAAAACAATTTTCAAATTTCGAAAATAAAATTAATCATCATTATCTTAAATCTTTATATTTACACGTAGAAGTCGTATTAAAATGTTACTTAACCTACGGCAAACGAAAGATAAGTGATGCTCTTGGCTGCGTAAAAGTTAACGAGATAATAATTACAAACTTTCGTTAAGTAGCTTTTCTGCAATCTGCGCAAATTGGTGTCAAAATGTTTTGATGATATTATAGGATGCCTCAGACTGACACTTTACGTGCTTGAAATGTTTTCAAAGTTTCAGTAAATACTTTTTACAGAACGTTAAATCATCACAGATTTTAATTAATCATTACATCACATCCACAAAAAACCACTAAAATTCAACTCACAGTGTATTCAATTCTATATAAATTCTTTGATTATCATGTTATATGACACAGATTTTATTTTAAAAATATGCTTCCAATGCATTATTTTTTCATAAATGATTACGAAATCAACACACGTTATATTATGTCTGGATTTCCCATTCATTGCACTGAAGCTGCGCGGCCTGTTTGAAAGTTGTTTTTTTTAACTTCTGACTTCGTTCTTTATTACACACAACTCGTTCTACACAACCAAGAGCTAGATAAATACACTTGTAAAAAAGGGAATTAACTAATCACTTTCACATAATCATAAAAATTCACATTACAATTTCGATCGAGAGGTACAGCGAATCATTACGAGTGCATGTTTACGGTTTGCTGAAGTTACATTTGAACAATACGACTTAAAAAATTGCCTAAAAAAGAATGGTTATGTATATTGAAAAAAATTTCTTGTTCATGATACTGTTTACACATACTTATCACCAAACACAGAGCCGATAAATCTCGTTAATATGGAAGTTTCTCTACGTTGCAATAAGTGTTGACGAAGGTACATATTAAACTGCCTACGTAACATGTAAAGTGAAATTAGCCAACTCTAATGCGCACACGATAGTCATAAACAACAGAAACGTAATATGACGGTTAAGGACACAATTACTCACGTATTTTTAAGCGTATTCTTGGAGGTTATAACTATCCTTCTCTGCGTCCATCCACTATCCAAGTGACTGAGTGAACATTTTGTTTGGACACGCTCTACAACATATTGCAATCAAAGCACGTTAACCAAAAAGATACGCACGACTAATATAAGAATCATATAAATAAAATGATTCCTTAAAGCCGACCATTATAGTCGATTTTCGTTAGTGGTCATGATACACAAAATAAATACTAATTAAATTATCATTAAAACATCATAACATACGCAGTGATGATGAATTCAAGGCAACCCGCAATGCAGTCTCCCACATACGACGTTGATAGGACAGTCTTTGACATACGATTACACAACGCTCAGCGTGCCATCTGACAACAGAATCTTGCACAATAACTACACCCTGCCATCTGGTATGAGTAATTCACACTCGATATATCACTACACGCAGTAACTACGCATCTGAAAGTATTTTAACATATAGGAAGAATAGCTACTACTTGTAACGTACGAGTACGTCGTACAATCTAGAATATATTTATTTATAAAACTAACAGAATTATCCAACAAAGTCTATTATTGTCTGTGCAGCTGCAAATCTTGTTTCTTTCCTGACAACACGTTCCATAGATCCACCGACAATGCAGGTTTCTACATTACCTACCGAGAAGCTGGCGGTAACCCTCGAGGCACCAACATGGATTACGTTTAAGACAAAATAACACAGTGCCAAAATTAGTGATATTTAATGTTCTGTATCGAAAAAAGGAAACTTACACAGAGTTCCATGACGCCTTGGTTGGCACTCCTGCAATAAATTCAGGGATATTCCATGTTTTATTGTTGGCCACAATGCCGAATATTACAAATGGGGGAAATAAACTGTAAATTCATAACCAAATTACGCAACCATTACACTTAAAAAGTTGAGATATTGAAGTCGGTTCTACATTTTAATTCAGAGATGTCAATCTATGCCTCGGTTACCGGGTCCCTGTGATTAACATGAGGGCTTCAAGTATAACGGGCACGCGTAGGGAAGGTTCTACACATTCTGTACCTCGATATTGGATGCAGGTGACGTATCAGCCTCACGCTCCTATCCTCTTAACCTGATAACCATCGAAAAGGACCCTACCAAAGCTCCACAGCGGAGGTTAGGATCCACGGAATTTTGGTGAACAAAGTTGTCCTCTACCAGTATCATTCAACTATTGCTCAATATTCACTCTTGTATCACCTGGGGATAGCCTCAGCTCCACAGAGACATCTATCACACCACCGTAACTAAATAGAAGTCAAGAAAAGGATGGATGAGTGGTCTTCAAAGCTGGTCTGGAAATGGAACGAAATACCAGTCATCAGTTCGTAACCAATCACTCAACTGAGCAATTTTACTGATTGAAACCCAACATGCAGATGACAAAATACATTTGAGTCATTTTAATATCATTTTCTTCAATATTTGTACAGTAATCCTCTGTCCACACTTCTCTCTTAACACATTCAACTAATAATCTGTACAAACAAAATGGTGTCGACTATATTCCATTGTTGACGGCCATCCATTATAAGACAAATCTGATGCGATTTACTGAAGCAATATCGATCGAGTTAAAAAGTCCATTGTTGTTAGGCAAGAGAAAAGATATGAAAGGGATGTACAGGTTACAGCGGACATATTACAATTAGCACGTCACAAGAATCTCTTACTTGAATTCTCATATGGGACTTAAAAGTTCTAAGTCATAATATCAAGTGTCAGAACAATGAAGTTTTGAAGCTACATTTTTTTAGTGCAGACTTCGTTGTTCGACAAACTTAAAAAAAGGAAATTTCGAGTTACATTCGATACTAAATACAGCAATAATGTACTGAGTTATCACACAGACGATAACATAATGTTTAAATTATTTACATAACTCGTCCAGTTTCCATAGACAAAATGAAAAGAAATTGATTAATTATAAAACACCTTTCAGTCTACAATCAGGTATACGACAAAAAAAACTTTTCTGCGAAATTACTGAAATGTTTTGAAGCCAAATATTAAATTTTATATACATATATAGCATTTGAGGATAGTATTATTTATTCACTAGTAGCGCGAGAGAAAACTCTTAAACGTATTTATATATTTCACATATGTTCAGACATTTCATTAGAATCACCTGCATTTCACGAAATAAATACCGCCTACTGTCTCGCAAAATTTTTTGTTAAATTTTTCTATCTTCTGCCAAAGCTACATTATTCGTGTTCTAGCCTATATTTTGTGCAAAAAATGAAAAAATAATTTAAAAAATATTGTCTCGGCCCAGAATTCTACTTTCTGCCTTATAAGTCTACGATATATGAAGGATAATTTCAAATTGTTAAAGTCACTTGTCTTACAAGGAACAAGATCATAGCTCATTCTTGTATTCATCTGCAATATTCTTACCTGTCCCGTGTTCTTATAAAGGTTGCCCATAAAGTGCCATCATTTAAGAGATCGTATACGGGCATTACGAAAAATAATTCCGCAGATGCTGCAAAAATGTATTCTGCAATGCAGATGTGATGTCATCGCTCAAGCACAATGCAAAGCCAAAGTTTTATTAATAAATATTCCTCTATTTATACTACTGGGTCATTTATTCTAAACATTATCGAGTTCGACTTCATGAATACGTATTATAAGCAGTGCGAGATCTGTCTTGTGTCCAAGATAAGAAACTAAAAAAAAATTGAGTGAGACCAAGCGAAGTCTTAGCACAGACTGGATATGTGCGTTAAGATATTCAACACGCGGATGTTAACAAAATTTGACTGTGACAAATTTTGAAAACTCTTAACTACTAGCTCGTTCTGACTTCACATATCACGGAAAATACACTGATTAATTAAAACTAATACCTATAAGTGTATGAATATTGAAGCTTACATGACGTAATAGAATCACAGTTTTAAAAAAAAACTTACGACACACACTGTAGAAACATGAGCGTTGAGGAATATTCAAGAATGTTGTCTTGCTAGTTTTAACTGGTGCAAAATCTTGTACTGGAGACAGCCAACAAAGGACATGTGAAGGGTATGAAAAGAGATTACACTTAGAACACGTACTTTACAAAACAATGCCCACAGCGCTACGCCCCAATTATAAGTCCACAACATAAAACCGCAATGAAAAATTCTCGGGCGAAGATTCCGCGAAAATACGATATAAAATTAACTCTGAACCACATCGTTTATGGGATGGGCGTTTGACGTCACTCAATGTCACACACAGGCAAAGCTACAATCAGACAGGTCACGTGTGCAATGGACCCTCCTCTAATTATTACTTTGCAAGTGAAGACTCGAGTCCCTTACGCCTCGTCTGACCTCGTGGATAAAAACGGACTCGAAAAAGAAATCCACAAATTTTATTTCCTATAAACGCGGGACGGTACAGCCGACAAAATTTCACGCGAAACAATTAAGAATTGATATCGACGAGGAACACAAACTCCCTTTAAATCACAACTTCGTCCAAAATGTTATTTAAGAATTCAGTCCGTACCGCGAAGAAAACACAACTCTTAACCATTACAAAGATCAACTGGTTAACGCTGTTTACGGAAATGACAGCTGTTTACAGTGATAATCATACAAAATACATAAAGACGAGCTACTGATTGTTGAACCAGATGAAACAATAGGGCTTTAAAGTGGTCATAAAACATTTGGCTTCTAACCTAAGCAACACCCAAAACGTCTTTCATGGTTGAATGTCACAACAGTGAATCAATTACGACGACAACTCAAGGCCTCAATAAAACCACGTAACAGACGTCGTATTTAGTCTAGCTTAATAAATGACTAGCACAGAACGCGCATTCAACTACTCTCAGAGCTAGTGGAACAACAAAGAAACAGTTAAAAGTACGTAGTTAGGATACGAAGCACGAACACCGACCTTTACAAAAGGAAGACCTATATTATACGCGTTAATAAAGGCACCAGCTTTTTCTAATTAATTTTCGGGCTGCCTAGCTCTTACCTATGGATTACTCTCGCGTTTAACTAAATCAAGGCACAAGAGATGCACCCTCGCTTGCAAAACCAACCCCCATAATCTGTTCAGTTCTTTAAAGTTTCCATTTTAACACATTTTGTTCTATAATGACACGAAAAAGCTGGTTGTATAAAGTTCCAATAAATGAGCGAGGACATTGCTGAACGTGGCGACTAAACACAGTGAGGGATTTAAATCAGTTTTCTTCTACCAAAGGCTTGGTATGAAATACAAATCAGTGAATCTGAAGTCCGCCACTGGCCTGCCAAAGTCGGCAAATCGAATTCGGTAAAAATTCTTCCACGGAGACTGAACTGAGATTTCTGTTTTACGCCCACATCAAAGTCGAGTTAAGGCTTTTCATTTTCGTGCGAAAAAACATCCTGTATTCCTGACAGATCGTGGTAGATTAAGACCAACATCTAGCAGCGTTCTTAACATCGGACATTACCCACTTCCTCAGGTACACGTGTACCAAAATGTACCTAATTAAATTTTAATGATTTATTTTACCAAAACGACGAGGCATAAATATCTCGTTCAAATGAACATCTCAAGCAGCCATTACGTATTAAACGTAAGTGAAACACCAAACAAAATGTAATTGACACGGGAGAAATACATTTTTAAATAAAATAATTTATTTTAAGAATAGCTTCATCGCTTCTGCCGCGCCCCTAATTAATTTTAAAGCTTTAAAATATATTTCATTCTGGTAAACGAGAAGCAATGTAGTGCCACACTGCAAATGGCTAGCAGCAGGCGCAAGACAAGATTTCGCAACCATCGGCTCACTGTGAACCAGGCTTCCCCGTTCTCGCAGCCGACGAGTTGTTCGCGTTTAAATCCATTCAACACGAACGAAGAGTCAACTATGTGACTGTCAGAGCTTCACGAAGACTTAACATTCCCGTTATATTTCCACAGCAAAACTTGAACCTTAAACCGTTTCTTTCGGTGATCCTAAAGACATGTGGTCCGATGCTTCTAAACGAGATATCTCGTGCGTGTGAATAAAACATCCAATATTAACATAACATAAATTTTGTATTATTATTTTTATCCGGCTGGCTGTGTTTTTCCATGTTAAAAATATTTTCTGATCACTGATGTATAAGACTTTTAAAGAATCAGTGACAGTTCTTGATGTAAAAGTGCAACTGAAATGTTCATGCCCGATCTGAATTGGTGAAAATAACAGAAGCTGAGATGCGAAATGTCGTAAGTGCGATTTGTTAGACCCCTGTCTGGTCCCTCACTCGTCTTCTGAACCGTCGGGTAGAGGGGTCATCTTATCGCCACCCTGGAGCTCGTAAGACATCTTCTGCAAAACAGAAACACACAACAGCTCAGTCCTGATGACACAGCGCAACGCTGTCAAACCACAGGTCAGCCCTTCTAATTAGATTTTCTCGACCAACAAGCCCAGATGACGTCAGCCGGGATGCCTTCTACGTCACAGGCCTGTTTGGTCTGGATTAGAAAGCGGCTAGAACAATGTTTCAGAATTTAGCGTTCCCTGGAATCCCGTAAAAAAACCCTTTTACACTCGTGCACTTTCAATGACAATTCGTTCATCAAATTCGAGATTAAAATCAGACCGACTTTTAACATTACTTGAGCGCGTCTAAGGATGGCGTCAATATTACTGAACTTTTGCTACGTCTTGTGTTCCTGGATGTTCCACATTACTCAAAAGAATATTCGAAAGTTTCAACGTCTCTCTTAGCCGGTGCTTGGTAGGTTCTTAAGGAAAATCTGTACTCGAACTATTTTATTCTACTTCAAAATTGTCGGTCTTACCTTCACGTCTCTTAAATCTAAATTAATACCCTACTCACTCCTTCTGATATATACTTAATCATCAGAAGCCTAAGCTCGCGTAAATAATATTTAAGAATTCAGCCCGTACCGCGAAGAAAACACTACACTTCACCATTACAAAGAACAACTGGTTAACTCTGTTTACGGAAATGATCGCTGTTTACACTGAAAATCATACGAGGCACATAACCACAAAATGCAGTTACGGATTGCCAAAGCAGATGGTACATATATTTACCACTGGGATCTAAAGAGATTAGGTGCAGCAGACATCATACACATTTTTATGCTTAATCTGACGACGCTTTCAACTGCTGAGAACACACAGATTCGAGTGACAGGATTAATGAATGGATTAAAGCAGTGGTAACTATATATTCACGATGCTACTATCCCAGAATTCGCCTGGAGAGTCAAATGAAAAACATGAAAAATGTCTGTCAGTGCAGCCATCCTCCGAGTCGAGATTTGTACACATTATGATGATCTAGTCCTTTGGCAATGTCTCAAAAGTGGGGGGC